TCCAGAATTTTCCTTTCTGTAATTTCCACATTTATCATTTAGAAAAACTGAGACATGCTGTTGAAATTGAACTTCTTCATCTTATATTAAGACATCTCAGTGATTAAATGTGCAGTTAAACGTCTTTACACTAATAGAAAGTGGAGTTTCAGTTATCCCTCCCACTCAAGATCAGCGTGGGTTGTTTGTATTTTACTTGTACTTTCTTCCTGTACTAACTGTGACTTGTGGATGATGAACCTGTTGATGCTAACTATTTGTTTTTGCAACAATTTGTTTTTCAGTGAGTTTCTTATGCACAGGTTAGCCAGCACAGATGCATTATAAATTATGTTTAGTAAGTAAAAAAAAAAAATAGGATGGAGAGAAGAGAGCAAGATAATTATACTGCCAAGATCTAATAAAGTTGCTTATGAGTATACCATCACGGTTCATATAACAGATAAAGAACACAATAAACACGCCTATACCCCAAGTCAAAGCTGCCATCTGCAGGAGCTCTGAGGGAGTAGTCCCGGGCTGAATCACATACTCGGGGCTGTATGGGTCTGTCTGTGTTTCACTTTCCCTGTAGTCTGTCTGGACCCCAACAGTGAAGTGGGTGGGTTGTTGCTCAGCATCAGACGTTATAAAGTCTTCTCTAAGGTGACACAAAAAACAGGCATACTTCCAGAAAAAATAGCACAGCAGAAACAGCTGCACAACAAAGTAATGCAAAGAACCTCACCTCGGCAAAGCATAAATCACACTAGGAGGTATCTGCTGCCCAAAGGGAATGAGAGGGCTAAAGGGAACAAAGTGAAATACTATGTCATAGACTATACTGACATCTACATAAGTGGGGCAGTATGGCAGTTATCTTTAGTTTGTTGTGTTAGGAAAAACAGAAAAAACAATCAGATTCTCAACTGGCTAGTCAAACCGTTTAAAGTATTTGCAGAAATCTGCTCCGGTTACACGGCACTCCTTGGTTTTCAGCCATGTTTGAACGTTTGGAGAAATCCTGTCAAGAAGATAATCAAGATGTAATATATACATATTTTATCATTTATAATATATAATAGAGACATTAAAAAATTACTTTATTTTATTTATTTTGTCTGTAATGAGAGAAAGACTACATCTTAAAATGAAGCAACTTAGTAACTAAGGCTTCATGTGCATGTTGTGTTACCCAGCCAGCTGCTGCAGGGCCTCTTTGCGCTGTTCTGTGTGGCCTCGCCACTGAAGATCAGTAAAGGCCGGCTGCGGGACTGCAGGGTCTACTTTAACAGTATAGCGTGGGTTGTCACTAAACATGGATGCAAACTCTGGTATTCTCCTCTGAGCGAAGAAGACGGAAACAATGTTAAAGAGTGCATTTCACATTTAATTTTTAGTTAAACAAAAGAGACAAAAAAGCCCCTCTATATTACATTCAAAAGATGGAAGAAAATATACATTATTACAATACAAGATAAATGCTCTGTATACTACAGGTTTAAATTAAAATTAAAATAAACGATAATATAATAATGACAGCATTTTAAATCAACTTATCTTTTATTTAAAATGTAATAAATTTGAAATAAAGTATAGATACGACTTACTATTCGAGACCTGGACGCAAAGGCCTTGAAATTGGCCTTGGTGTGGTCTGCCTCCGATGACACTGTGTGAACCGGATCTGTGGAGGAACAGTTCAGGTGATGGCAACCGAGGCAGCTAAGTTCAGCTATTAGCCGTGCTCATTGGTGTGTTCGTTAGCTGTGCTAGTTAGTTCAAAGCTTACTCACCGTACAAGTAGTCATAAGCCCGTTCACGCAAAACAGCTGTACCAGCATCATTCTTCTTGGTAAACGTGTTAGTCACAGATGCGCACATTTTCTGTATTTAGTCAAACAATTGAGTATTTTTACAGCTAATTTTACATGCGGACGGCCGCTTCAACGACGTCGTTTTGACACTGTAGTCATGGAGACAATAAACTGACCGTCCGGAAGTGGGAGGATTAATCTCGAGCTTTCTGTTTACTCTCACCGGGTGGAAGTTGGAAGTAATTCTTGGACAACATACTTTGGGTTTTTATCAAAATGTGATAGTATAATATTAATTTAACTCCACATGTCATCATTTAAGATTTAAAGGACGTTTCTTCCTTCGTGATTTCATCTAGGAGAGGATTCAGGGTCTACTTTTCCACCGGTGATCGTTTTTTATGTCTCTTCTTTTTCATCCCTAGTAATAATAAATGATGAAGGGTTATATTATTATTTTTAATTAGCAGGATAGTTGAATAACTTTCAAAATTGCTACAATGAATTTTTGTACTTTTTACCAGCCTACAGTACCACAAACGTCACAACCTACATATAAACTACCTACATACAAAATCTGCTGTGTCTGCTAAAATGATTATGCCTTAGGCCGTGGGCACATCACAGAAGTTAAACTCCTTAAGTAGGTCAGGATTTTTTTTTTTTCCCTAGTATCAGTTCATATAAGACAGCAAAGACTTTAAGACTTTAAGAATCAACTTTATCAACAAATTAAAGTAAGTGTGCACATTAATAATTGTATTTTATTTTTTAAAAAAGAAAGAAACAAAGTAAAAAAAAATGCTACAAAATGCAGTAATATAATCAAAATATACAATAAAGCAAAAATACATATACACAAACAGTACATCAATATACAAACAATGCAGGATATAAAAGGTTACGAATTTGACCTCTTTTTATTAAAAAAAAAAAAAAAACCTAAGTAAGACAGCAACAACTGTAAAATTTAGGACAGCAGTCTTTAAGAATTAGTAGAAGGAAGGAGGAGTGAAAACGTAGTTCCTAAAAATGTAACTACCACAAAAGCCTAGTAATCTAATCAAAATATATCTACAACATAGAGAAAAATATATATGTATGGCGCCAGAGTTACATCAATGTGAAAGGAATATAGAATATAACTGGTCATGAAATGTAACTGTTTTTATTCCATAACGGCAAAAATGCAAGAATTCAAAAGTAACGTGTCAGCTTGTTACTTAGGACATTTTAACATCTACATGCACAAACGACCTCACGTATGAGTCAGAGATGATAAAAGTTTCCATTTAGACTAGGGTGGAGTTGTCTGACAGTGTGAAGACTGAAAAAGGTGACCCTACAAGAAGTGGAAATAATATAGCTAAAATAAACCCAAAGAAAAACACCCTTTATGTTCTGTCAGATAAACAACATAGTTAATACTTAGCTGATTTAATAGCTGTGTTTGTAGCAAGAAGTAGTAGCACACAAGAAAATGAAAAACAAGAGTGATCTGATCCCCATCTACATATACCGGATGACCAGAAAATTATTTCCATGCTGATGAAAATTCTCTGTATGACTACACAGTCACAGCAAATCGAAAAAGCTCTATGATACCACATGTACTGTATCAGCGATCAAGAGGATTCACTTCATGTAAAAAGAAGAAAAAAACAATTTAAAAATGCTGGAATTTGAAGCATGTTGCCTTTCTTTTTAAATATGAACGAGGCACTGGCAAACTGACCTTCACTCAGGATTTTACTGGACCATTCAGTGAACACAGAGGTATCAGCAGCATGCCGTACTCTTCTATTAAATTTAATGTTTCAAATCTCTTTACTTTGTGTCATACTGAACTGAAAAATGTAATAAAAGCAACCAGCAGCTTTTCAGCTGACCAAACTAAAGGCAAGGGGACTGCACAACAAGCAAGTGGCACGTGTTACTGCACTAAGGTTTCGTTATTAGGGTAGATACAAGGCTTCAGGCTCTCAGGGATGACACAGCATGGCATTGTATATAAAATTATTTTTTTCTGAACCCCTAAACTTTCCAGGCAATTTTGCTAATACTGACGTAAACTTCTTAAACTGAAACCTCAGAAAAATAACTGAAGAAGAAGAAAAAACAAAACAAAAAGAATTACGTGGAGCAGACCAAAATTGTCTGACAACTTCTGTTTTTTTTCTTACCCTCCGAGTTATATTTTTGGGTAGCCAAAAAGCATGATTTTGACATCAACAGGAAGTCACTTATCAAAGGGAAGCAGTGTATGCACGCATGCATAGACACATGCACAGTCTGTGCTTCTTATCGTTAAAGCCCAAAACATAAGCTCTTGTTGTTTTTTTCGCTCCTTTTTTGGGATATGTGTGCAATACTGCTGACTGAGGCAACAATAGTTCACAGATGAAGAAATTGCTATTTTTTGGAAGAACTAGTTCCTTGTCCCATGTGTGCCAACTCATAGTCAGCTGAATTTCTGTCTATACATGAAATAAACATGGTCTAATATTAGATCCAAGAAAAAGGAGAACGGCAGTTATTCATTTAAATACCCCTCTTTTTTTCAAGGTCCCAGCCCAAGACGAAATTAGGAAAGGATGAATCAAACTCTGGCTGGTTAAGGTATGTGATGTATGAGTTTATACTAGGACATTTTTTTCACCGTTTTTGCCTTTTGTTTCAGCTTTCACAGTTGGTCACACTTAGAATACCCACAAGAGAAGGATAAGCCGAGCTATCGTTGCTCATCTGCCCTATCTGAACTTATATGGGACAGCTAATATCAAGATTTCTCATTGCAAGATGTATTTGTGAACCACAAACTCCGCATACGGCTTGGAGACCTTAACCGCATACAAGCAGAATGATTGCACCATTTGTTTTCAGTTAATGTGTGCAATGTGCAAACTGGAGATGGAGTCAGTAATAACACCTGCACCCACATTAATGCTGCATGTAGGCAAGCATGCATAGCACAGTCTTATACAGCAAAATGTTCTTACACCAGCAAATATGAGACCACAGCAAGACTAACATTTGTCCTACTCAGCAGAAATCATTTCTCTCATCAAATCTTTCGAAATACTGATTAAACTAAGCTGAACTAAGCAGAAATACATAGAATGCTTCATTTATGTCACAAGAAAGGATAAATGTGAGTGTACCATACAAAGTACCAGTAAGCTCGTGATGAATCATCACCTGTGATTACGAACATGGAGACGAACGTTGAAAGAATTTCATAACGTTGCTCTATTTTTTATGTGTGTGTTCACGCACACTGCTTTACTACATACTACTTTAGAGAGCACAGCTATGTGTCTGGCAAGAGAGGAAATGGGTGTCTTGACTTATCAAACGTCATCCTGTGTGGGAGAAAAAGGCAAGATGTCTCAGTGGAAAGCGGTTTGGAGAGAGGGGATGAGAAAGAAGAAGGGAGGGATTTGTTAGTCACACGATGTATATATTACTGTGTCACAAAAGACTTCAGGTTTGTCTGAAGTCTTTGTTGGAGGACATGCTTCACTTAAATCCAGAGCTTGTTGGGAATAGTAAGGAAATGAAATGGCAAGATAACGGAGGAGAAAGAAAATGCATCTTGGTTTGATGTTACTTTAGAGAGTCTAGCACTGACGGTTTATGTCAGGCCATACTTGAGGTTTTACGGTGTGAGCAGCAAGTTTACAGAGGAGCACTCGAAGACACGCAACGATGAGAGAGACTATGTGGATTTATGTCGTGATCCTGTTCTTGTCTGAAACACAGAGCGTGGAATCAGGTTTGACATGTTAACTCATTTTTCTTGCATTTGTTTTTCAGCTTTCACTACTCACATTTTCTTAAGAGTGAGCAACCTTCACAAATGTAATACATAATGACAAACTCCATGCGGATTCATGTGGTTTACGACACAAGTGAGACATTTTTAAACCTTGAAAATGTTTTGGTTTTTTTTACCTTTTTTGTGTCATTATACTCTGCGAATGTATTTTAGTGTCAAATATGTGTAGCATGCATAAGAACAGAGGTAATTAGTGTTAGATTTGTGGCTCATTTCTATGAAGTGGGTGAGTTGTAAACTGTAAGTGGTTGTGGGCCTCCTGAGATTTCAGTGAAATGGTTGTATTCTGATTCACAGCGTAGACAGTGTGTGGAAAGACTATGCATGACAGTGGGCCAGAGCAGAAACTGGCAGGGGGAAAAGGTGTTCCATAACAGAAGTCAGCCCCGTCTTTTCTGAATGATCAAACTGCCTGGTACTACCCTGGAAATCTTGATTTCACATCTGGGTAAAACTATGATGCAGCTCTTTCTGCATTGTAAGGGGGTCTCTGTTTTAGAGTTGTGGTTTTGTTCACTCACTTTCTGCGTGGTCTTGGTTTTACACCTGTCAGATGTAAACAACTCACTGAACACATCCACCTTGAATTTTCCGTTTCACTTATATGAAATACCGACTGTGTCTCTGGCTTCTGGGTAACGTGGAAGATTGTGATTAACCTTTGTCGGCTTTATAAGGAGCTGAACTTTAACTGTGACATTTTATCGCCCCACATTCGGTGACTGTCATGTTTGTTTGTTTTTTTCAAAAGCTTAAAAAAGTGCAGTTTGTCTCACAGCTCTTTGTTGTTTAACTCTCCTGCATGGCCATTCAATTCATGTTACATCTTAACCGATTAAACTTCAACTAACAGACGACCATCACTGCTGCTCTGCTGACTGAGCACTTCAAAATGAATATTTTGTTGCTACTTTAATTACTGAAACATTCTACTAACTTTTTCCTTAATTCACCTTCGTCTCTCTCAGGAACTACTGAAAGGGCCCCTGTGAACACCACTTTTCCTCCTATCACTGGTAACAGTCTTTCCCCGTGTTTCTATACTGCTACTGTTCACTATGAGTAAAATATGAAGTGAGAAAGTGTGACTAGCAAAATGTGAAAATGTCAGTACATTATGTTTAATTCCTTTTCTACTGCTTATTGTGTTTCAACTATTGCACAACCTTCTTTACTTAAAATGTATTAAAGCGAAAGAAAAAGTGCTTTAAAGCACTTCAATACTTGTTGAATAAGAAAGGTGCTATTTATTAGTCTTTGTCTGATTCATTACCGCTTTTTGTTCTTTTTCCCCTCTTCCTTTTTTATTTTCCTTTTTTTTAAAAAAAATTTTTTTTTGTAATATATAAAACATTTTTCTGTAGTGCTAATTAGACAAATCTTAAAAATTATTACAAAAAAATAAACAATGTTATGATTTATTTTCTATCTGTGTTTGATGCTGCAGCTTTATTCTTTAAGTAAATATATTTAACATATGCATAACATAAACAAATACTTTCTATTTTTTCTTTGCTTGTCTGCCTTCTTTGTATATACTAGCAAATCTATTATTTTGTCACACAAAAAACCCAAATGATTTGAATGAATATGAACGATATGTAAGATGCATTCACACTTCCTTTTTTTTTTTTCAGAACGCAGAAATGAACTTTTCAGTAATGGGAGTGATGCTAATCTGACATGCACCGATAAGATGTGGAATGAGACATTTTATGTTATCTGGAAAATTAAATTGATTAACAAAACCCGTTGTGAGATCAACTTTGACAGTTATGGTCGAAACTCAGACACCTGCAATGATGGAAAGTCACTCCGAAACACATCCAATTCTCAGCCATATCTACACATCCCAAAGTTCTCAGAAGATGATGTGGGAATCTACACGTGTGAGTTTGCTTACAGAGGAGGAGCTACCAATTGTGAAATCCACGTGAATATCACAGGTAGGACTTCTGTTATAACATTAGTCACACCTTGGTACCTCTATTGATATATAAGAATACAGATAGTTGAAATATCAGCCTTCTACCATTCAGCTTATACCTCATAAAGGAGTAAAATGGATATGCATTTATGTTGCTCTGCAAAGTCTTTTCAGTGGCACATTTTTAAAAAATGATCTTCAGTTTGCCTTTTTTGGACACAAACACATTGTCCTCTAGAGTTGGGATGTGGAACTCATTTAACATCGCGGGCCACATGCAGCACTTTGATCTGAAGTCCTCTGAATCAGGAAAATGCCTCTCTCTGTGAGCGTAAAGAATTTTAACTGCACATTTAATCTAAGAAACAGAAGTGCGGTTTCAGCAGCATGTCATGAAACATTCAAATGCTGCTGCAGCAGATAAAAGACATCTGAAATTTATATAATAAATCGTGAAAAACAGACTTTTCCTCCAATTTAATTGTTATTGTTTACCGGTTACTTAATTACGTTGGTGTAGTATGAAATACAATAGGGGAGGTCCCTTATCACTTGGAAAAAATCTAAACCTTGAATGAATATACACTTATTTTTATTCAATTATCCAATGGGAGCGATTGGCCAATTCTGGCTCCCGGGCCTCATTTTTGACAACTCTGCTCTCAATGGATCACTGACTTCATTGTTAACATTCTTCATTTAGCACATTTAGATATTTGATCTGAAAACGAAAAACAAAGAAAAATGAAAATAGAGCACACCATGCCATGCAAATCCTATTTTGTGGTGTGGTGAAACTTCTAATATAGCAAGCTTAAACGATTTGTTTTTGTCGTTGTTTCTTTTTTTTGTCTGTTTTGATTTAGTGACTCCTGAAATAAAAGCCTGGATAGAGTACAAAGACAACACAATGGTAGCAGTATGTAGAGCTGAAAATGGAAATCCTGCAGCCAACATCAGCTGGAATCATGCACGAAATTCTTCTGTGCAACAACTGCCTGGGATAAATGGACTTTTTACAGTAGAAAGTCGTTTGGAGCTTCCTGAAGGCATAGATCCAGAAAACCTGAGCTGCACCATCAGTCACCAGAACCTGAACAAGATTGTATTTTTGGAATATCAAAAAGTTAAAGGTCAGGCTTCTACAAACTGAGGCACAAAAGTTACACAACCATGTGCATTTAAGGTATTAACAAACATTTCATTTGTCTCCCTACAGTTTATTCTCTCTGGCTGTATGCACTCATAGCTGGGATAATAATTGCATTTTTAGCGGGACTCTTATTTTTTTTGGTCATGAAGCTGAGGTAACAGGTTTAATTTAACAGAAATTGAATCAAAATAATAACTTGTGTTCTGAGAGTGTCCAGGTTACTGAACATGTTTGTGTAACTTTTGCCAGGCAACACCAACAGTCAGATACCTCCTCCTCCAAATCCCCACCGGTAGGTAAAACTGCCTGTATTTTATAGTTCTGGTTGTTGACTGCACTTTGTCATGTTTTGTTAAAGACGCCTCCCTCTGTTCTATCTCTTTTGTCTTTTCTTTTTTTTCTTTTTTTTGTAGATAGAGGATGTGGAGGAAGTGGAGCCCTATGCTAGCTATGTTCAACGTGTGAACTCTATCTATAACTGATCTGCAGATATGTTCACAATGACAAAAGAAAAAGAAAAAAGAGCGTGCACATGCATCACAGCCTAAATGCAACAAGTCTTTGTGAGAAACTGAGGGCTGTGAAACTGAGAAAGGGTGAAATAGTAAAGAGAGGGAAGGATCAAAGATTTTCTCTGAAAGAGGAACGTTTCTCGCTTTAAATGTATCCTAATAAACACTTAACTAATGGAACGGGGGATGTACCTGATGTCTGCCCACCACTTTGTGTGGGTCTCAAGGAGAACATTAACTAAAAAATGCACTGAACTGCTGAAATGAGGAGGCTCTTGAGCCACATGCAGCATGTAAGACTACAGAACTACAGACTTTTGATAATGCTGATGAAATATATTGGCTACAATTATGTACAAATACACTTATTTAAACATTAACAGTTAAATAGATGATCATTTCTTACATAGAATCATGCTGGAGTGGCTACAGTACAAGCACCAAGCAACGAAAACATGCATTTTAATCACATAGCTGTCTCAAGGTAATGTGGACAATGCCATGTGAAGTATTTATGTTATGTATGAATGTGAGATGATATGATTCTTTGTATTAAAGTGCATGTATAAATGCTGACTTCATTTTAGCTACATTCTTCAGACTTAGGAACAACATTAGTAACGCTGCATCAGAGCAACTCAGCAAGATACACCAAAAAGAGTCAAAACAGTTGTTCTCAACATTTTAACAGTGATATCTGCCAAGGTGACTTTTTCATTGTTTGAGGGCATGCACTAAAAATACAATCAATACTAATTGCCACTTTTTTCATAGTGACTGTGTAAAGACTCACCTCAGTACAGTAACAGTGACTAATGCAGTTCCGAGAAAAGAAACTAGAAAAAGGAACTATTCTGCCCTCTACTGGTGAATAATAGAATTTATGTTGCTACAGGATTAAATGATGCAAGGCGTCTGAATAATTTCACTGATAGAAGTCAATCTATTCCTCCGAGTTTGAAAGCCATTATTTGGTCTTTGGGAATAGTTCTCCGGACTTCTTGAAGGACACTGAAAGCCCTTATTTGGATGTTGGCTGCCTGTTCTCTTTCAAGATGATCCCACACTGTATCAATATTGTTGAGGTCTAGGCTCTGGCGAGGCCAAGCCACGACTGTTTTCCATTGGCAGTGTGTTTGGGATCATTGTCATTCTGAAAAATGAAGCTGTTCCCATTTAGCCTCATTTCAAATGCTTTTGCATGGCGGTTGAAAAGCTGATGGCACATTTCTCCATTCATTCATCAATTCTGACATGATCACCAACACTATACTCATTAACAATGATCTAAACCAAAAGTCAAAGTCTCTCTCTCCATATACATAAATATATATATACACACATGTATGTCAGTGGCTTCACACTTGTTCTTTTCAGTAGCTTTAGTAAGTAATAGAGGGTAGATCAGAGGCAAGAGCTGCAGTGACTATAATTGTATTTCCATTATAATGAGAAAACTAAAAATTTGCCTCACAAATATATCCCTATTTTCACAGCCTGACTATTTGAACTCTTACAGTGACTTAGCACATTAACATGATTTCCTCTTAAAAGCAGAAGCAAATAGCAAAACTGGTTTTCGTTTTAAATTGAAAAGATTTTTTTCTTCTTCTTTCAGTTTTTCAGACATGCAGTTTATTCATACAGCAGAATAAGAACAGATAGGGTAAATAACAGTACTCTGCCATGAAGTTAAATGTATAAATAATTCTGTTGATTAGACAGATTCAAACTAAAAGGCACAAAAAACCATCTCTCAAAGAAAAAACAAACAAACAACTTCTCAGCCTTTCAGTGTGTTTGTAGTATATTGGGGCCTTTGGAGTGCTTCTTACATGCTGTGAAATGCTTCTGACTATGTGTGGTCTGGACTATCGTTTTATAATGTGGCAATAGATCAAATTACACAAACTGTTTTCGTATTTGGTTGCACATTTGGATTGCATTTTAGGTTTGGGCAGTATTAAGTTTGAAAACGCTTTCTGAGGGAACTCAATATGGGGCGTTGTGAAACTGATTAATGGTGGAGCAAAGAGTTGGCATTGTTTCAGCACCAACCACCAGCAACAGACTCTAGATAATGATCAAACCTTCCTGCGCAGCACCTTACAGCAGATGCATTCATATCAACAAATTTGTCTCTCAAAAACCCCCAAACAGTTCTGCCATCATTCTTGCACATGCACGCTATGAAACCACAAAATACCAGTTCTAGACTTTCCTATGCAAACAAAATGCTAGGTATGTCTGAGAATGTGGTGGACATTCTCAGACTTTCAGTTGTGGTGTGGTGACAGTCTCAAAAAGGTCAAACAGGTCAAAAAGTCCGAGTTTCTTCCAGGAAACTTCTCTTTAAAGAGGAGCAAGTTTTGAATTTGTGCTGTGATGTTTTAGGAACTTGGGGCCAAAACATAAATCACATAACCACACACAGAGCTAAAGAAACACAACAAAATAAAACTTCTATTTAGAACATTTTCAAATTCACATTAAAATGTCACACATGGTGGCTTTAAGACTTCATCGATTCACTTGTAAGTAGTAATTGCATGCCACAAACTTCTGTATTTCCTGATTTGGATGCATTGCCCTTCTCAGAGAGGTCCAGAATTGATGAAAGCTTGTTGGCTTTCTTCTGATTTTTCAAATCTTTTAGTAAAGTCCCGATGTCTCGAGAATCGTGTCATCTCTCGCAGGTTCGTCTGCAATGCGAGTTAGTCTTCTTGAGGAAGGAACACCACCACCATGTTCTGGTTAAAACGTTTCTTCAATTGTGGAGAGAAACTTCTTTCTGGTTACTGTACATACTTCCGCAATCAGCTGCTGTTGGCTGTTAATATTCTCATTTTGGCAGTTTCTTTGATAATCAAGATCTGCTCTTGATTAAGCTAAGAATATAAAAAATAAAGTGACAATTCAAGTGCAAACAAGTTCTTGCATGCCTTTACCCGGCATCAGATATTTTCTGCAACTCACTTGACCGAACAAATGCTTCCACTTCCGTTTGTTTACCCCATAAGTACATAATCATCTGGACATTCGTCTTTAGATGAGCACTCAGATTCAGACTGAGGCTGAAGTGCTGCAGGAATATTAACTATAGCATAGTCGCAGTCGTCGTCGGTGATCTGGTTTGTCGGTGGTCTGTTATGTCTTGCTCCTTTGGCTTTGTCGTGGTTAATAGAAGCATACGTTACATCTTCGTTGGGTTGCTGGAAGAGAGAGAGAGTGAGATGGGTGATCATCTACCCGTATTGTGCCCATCAAATAATTTATTCTACTTTTTACACTGTGTTTCTGCAGCTGGCATATTTTGAAATGTGTCTACATGCCGCGGGTTCCTGTGTAGTTTGTTTTACGGCAGAAGCCTCATGTTAATCTTCTCCAAGTATGTAAATCCAAAGTGGAACACACCCATGTCTTATGAAAATCATGAGCTGATAACGGTGAAGATTTATGGTCAACAGAAATAGAACCAAAATTAATGCGGGGATGTCTACCTTGTCATTCGCGGTCTTATCATCTGGTTCAGAATCCCCTGAAAGAGGAAATATGGAAAAATCATAAAATTATAATAGTTTTTTCTTTTGTTTATGATATTTATCACATTTATACTGGGGAAAGTAACACAAAAGCAATAAGAAATTAGTAATACAAAATAGCTTTTACCTTTCTCTTTCTTCTTTCTGAAAATAAAGCAAATTGAAACGATAAGCTACCAAGGACCACAATGTTAGCACACACAGAAGAATAACGCCTTTGGATAATACTGCTTATTGAGTCATATGTCTTTCACCTCAATAAATCATATAAAATATTATCTGTGGCAGCAGGTGTGGGCTTTAGCCAACAGCAGTGTTTCCTTGACAGCTTTAACAATTAAGCGCTTGTGCTGCAACAGGAAACACTTTACATAGACCTACAATCAACACCTGTTTATAACCAACTGAATATGGCAGTGAATAACCAACGAGGGCATCACGCTTTGCATATTTCTAGACTTGCCATTTTAGACGGTAATATATTGAATATGTAACGCAACAGCAAAATATGTTCTTTGTATTTGACTTAGTTCTTGTAAGAAGACAACCAGAACCCAGGGCTATTTTTATCTCGTAACCACGGTTTCCTTGCTAGAGGAAATGTAGAAACTTCTTGTAAAAAACTGCACAATCATTTCATTTAAACTTTTTTTTTTTATAAATATTTTCGCTGTAGTTAATTCACAAATACCTTAAATATATTTTCTGCATTTACAGCAGTTAAAGGAGTGTTTTAGAATACATCACATTCTGATGAATAACTTTGTAATATATGAAAGTCCCCACTTATAGGAATGTGTGAATGAATGTATGAGCGTGTATGATGACTTACCCTGAAACACAGTTTCCCATGACGATCCCACAGAGTGCCCGGTTGCTGGAGAAGGGCCCCTCGGCCTGACGCTGTAGTAGATATGAGCTGATCGCTTCCTTGCATCAAACTGCATATAGGCCACAGTAGTGAGGAAGTGGTAGAAAAGAGAGGCAGAGTGAGAATGAGGGAGAGAGAGAGAGCAAGTGAGAGAGAGAGAAGCAAATGTGCTATCACACCAATAGGAAAATAACAGTACTGATGTAGAGGAAAACGGTCAGTACTAACAAACAGCATACAAAATATAATGTGACACATTGATATTAATACGGAAATGCTGTAACACTTTGCTGACACAAAATACTCAATTTTTTGAGCGCTTTATTCATATAAAATTGTGTATATCTATATGGATGTACTTGTATGTATGTGGATATATTGGTTTGTTGGGGGTTTTTTTTATGTCAGAAATAAAAGGTCATCATCATCATCGTCACCTACTGTATTTGCTGTAGTTTAAAATATTTGCCATTGAGCAAACATGAAATATCTGCATCGCGAGATAACACAGTAGTGAGTAGTTACTGTAATGTATTTTGTTGTCAGTGTATGGTGTCATTTGCATGTTTGTGTAAATATTTTTGATGTGCAACAACAGGAGGTCAGTGATCTTTGCTACATGGAAAGTCCAGGTTTGGTTCACAAACTATTTATTGTCAGCAGGAAAAAGAACCACACCTTCATATTAATTCAGAGAAATGTCTGGATATGCACCACCTAGTAACACTCTGTACAGGAAAGGCTCAAAGAATGAGCTCAGAGTGGACAAACTGAAGACTTATCACATCATTTTCTTTTCTCTAATGATGAAATAAATGATCAGATAATCACACCAGATAATCATCTTTACTGATATGTTTTCAAATATAATAAAAACATTGCAAATTTTGTGTTTGATTGACTTTACTTTTGCTCGAAATATATTTAGTGACAGTACGATAGTTAGAACTGTTGTCATACACTGAAAAGATCCTGGGTTTGAATCCAGTCTGGGGCCTGGATGATGTTTGCATGTTCTGTCTCTGCCTGCATGGATCCACTGCTTCAGCTTTTTCCCACAGTTCAAATATATTCATGGGTTTATTCATGCAGGCGACCGTGGCTCAGGGGGTTGGGATTCGCATCTGTAACCGGAAGGTCGCCGGTTCGATTCCTGGGCTCTCTGTCCTGGTCGTTGTGTCCTTGGGCAAGACACTTTACCCTACTTGCCTACTGGTGTTGCCAGAGGGGCCGATGGCGCGATATGGCAGCCTCGCTTCTGTCAGTCTGCCCCAGAGCAGCTGTGGCTACAACTGTAGCTTGCCTCCACCAATGTGAGAGTGAATGAATAGTGGTATTGAAAAGCGCTATATAAATCCAATCCATTATTATTTATCAGGGGTGTCAAACTCAAATACACAGTGGGCCAAAATTCAAAATGGAACAAAGTCGCGGGCTAACATTAATATTTATTGAAAAAAAAATCTTCCTCCAGATATAAGAATGAATCTTTTCTTATGGACTCAAACAAGTTTAGCTGAAAAACTGAATATGGAACAGCAAAGCTTAATACTAAACAATATATATATTAGCTGTATAATACCAGTAGGCCAGCTCTAATAGTAATTTGGTATGGCTTCGCGGGCCAAATGTAATTAGGCTGCGGGCCAAATGTGGCCCACGGGCCAGAGTTTGACACCTATGGTTTAGATTAATTGATTATTCTAAACTGACTTTAACTGTGAATCTGAGTGTGAATGCTCTATGTGTCAGCCTTATAATACACTGGCAACCAGTCCAGGCTGTACCCTTTTGCCCTGTGACAGCTGGAACAGGCTCTAGCCCCCCTCCGTAGATTGTAAACAAGGATAAGAAATCCTTCTTCGTGGCTCAAGAGTTGGGAGTTCACCTTATAATCCGAAGGTTTCTGGTTTGAGTCCCAGCTTGGACAGTCTTGGTTGTTGTGTCCTTGAGCAAGACCCAGTTGCCTACTGGTGGTGGCCAGAGGGCCTGGTGGTGCCAGTGTCCGGCAGCCTCGCCTCTGTCAGTGCGCCCCAGGGTGGCTGTGGCTACAATTTAGCTTGCCATCACCAGTGTGTGAATGACTGGATGTGTAAAGCGCTTTGGGGTCCTTAGGGACTAGTAAAGCGCTGTACAAATACAGGCCATTTACCATGCTTATATTAAGAAAATCTCTGGTATACTGACGCATCAATATGTTCTTTTTAGGAACAAATCCTATAGTGAGTATTCTGGTATGATAATGTATTCAGAATTATTATTGAATTACACAATACTGTTTGCTTAAAAGGGGTCATATACCTTATCCATGGGTCGCACTGAACACTAGTTTCCATCAGGTGTGAGGTGGCTTCTCCCTGAACAGACACAGAGAGAGACAGACAACCATTCACATCCACACCTAAAACCAATTTAGCAGAAACAGTGAACCTAACATGTCGTTGGGATGAAGCAGGAGTAGCCGGACAGAATCCATACTGATGGGTTTGAACATTAACTTCTTAGTTTGCAACAACGGTACACTTCACAGTGCCAGCCTTATGAACGTTTGTGTATTTAACAAAAAACAAGCTAGCTAGCTATTGTTAGCGAGATAGCTAGCTTGATAGCTAGCCAGCTACATAGATAGGCAAGGTCAAGACACCCTGTTGAATTTCAAACTAACATCAGACTGAGGAAGATGGTGATTTAAACAACTTTGAACGTGGCCTGAGCATTTTAAAAACTGTCTGCCTCCCCCATATTCATCTCCAGGGTTTGCTGAGAATGAACCGAAAAAGGGAAAACAGCCAGTGAGCAGCAGTTCTCTGGTTGAAAATGTCTTGCTAATTCCAGAAGTCAGAAGAGAATGTTCAGTCTTCTTATGATAATAGTAAAAAAACAAATAGTTCAAAAAACCAATTGTTTGCACCAGTGTATGCTGAAGAGCATCTCTGAATGCACAACACATTGAACCTTGAAGCAGATGGGCTACAGCAACAGAAGAGCACACTGGGTGCCACTCCTGTCATCTCGGAACAAAAAACAGAATCTACAGTTCACATTAGGACACTGGAAAATGTTTCCCGGTCTCAACTTCTGCTGCAAGATTAAAAATGGCAAATTCAGAATTCAGTGTAAACAAAATAAAAGCAAGGCTCCATCCTACTTTGTATCAGTGATTCACACTACTTCTGTCCGTTGAAAAAGCGGGGAGGATCATCAAGGACTCCAGTTCACTACT